ATTTTAATACCAAAAATGTTACATAAAATAAATAAATAAAAAACATCAATGGTTTATCTGCCTATACATTTTGTTGTTATTATTATTAATAACTGTTATTACATGTAGAATTATTATTATATAACTTATCATTTGACTACTAATGGTAATATTAATTGTATTAAATTGTTATAAGATTTGACAGCTTCCAGTATTTTTTGTAATATAAATATATACTTTTATGACCCAAAGAATTCCCAACGTTTTATTATAATAATGTTCTCATTAGAATGTTATATACACGACATTCCCAATCATAGTTATTAATGTTGTGCACTGCTGTTTGGGCTGCGTGTGCTGAGCTAAAGATGATCACCGGTAAACTGAAGCGCTCTTTTAACTTAACCAAACGCATTCTATATGAGATAAATCAGATATACATCAAATAAACACAATATTACAACGTACAATTGCACAAAAGGCTGCAAACGAACAGCGCGCATCTGAAGTGTCTCTGAAGGAAATAATGCATTATTTATCGGCTTAAAGATATCGGCCAAATTTTCTTATCGGGCCGATACCGATAACAGAAAAAATTAGCAATTATCGGCCGATACCGATATGGTGGCCGATATATCGTGCATCCCTAATGTATTTTAATACCAAAAATGTTACATAAAATAAATTAAAAAAAAACATCAATGGTTTATCTGCCTATACATTTTGTTGTTATTATTATTAATAACTGTTGTTACATGTAGAATTATTATTATATAACTTATAATTTGACTACTAATATTAATAATAATAGTAATATTAATTATATATATATATAATTGTATTAGTAGTAGTAGTAATTAATAAATTTTTATTAAATTGTTATAAGATTTGACAGCTTCCAGTATTTTTGTAATGTAAATATATACTTTTATGTATTTTAATACCAAAAATGTTACATAAAATAAAAAATAAAAAAACATCAATGGTTTATCTGCCTATACATTTTGTTGTTGTTATTAGAATGTAATTTATAATTTAACAGTTAATATTAATAATAAAGAAGAATTGTACATAACATTAGTAGTATTATTATATAATTTGACAGTGTCTGGTGTTTTCGTAAATATGCATAATTACATAATGCTTAAAAAATGTCACTTAAAAATAATGGCCTGCTTGCCATTAAATGTTATTATTATTATGTAATGTATAAATTGACAACTAATATTATTAGTGAAGAAGAAGAATTTTATGTAACATTATTATTGTTATATAATTTGTCCGTCGTATATATATATATATCATAAGGATTAATCTTTTAAAGGCCTTCCTGTCATTAAATATTATTATTATATGCTAATGTTAATAATTAATAATAATAAGAAGAAGATAACGTTAGTATTATTATTAGTATATAACGTTAGTATTATTATCAAACGAATAATCGCATCCAAAATAAAAGTTTTTGTTTACATAATATATGCATGTGTGATGTTTATATTTATTATGTATATATAAATACACACACATGCGTGTATATATTTCAGAAAAATAGGTTTTGTTTATATATTAAATATATTTATTTATAAATTATATAAATGTAGTCATGTAAATATTTTCGAAATATATACTGTATGTGTGTGTTTTTATACATGCATAATATACACAGAACACACACATACATTATGCAAACAAAAACGTTTATTTTGGATGCGATTCATCTTTTGACAGCACTACTGGAGTTTCCTGGTGTTTTTGTAATTATAGAATTATACAGTATTAGAATAAAACCTAATAAAAGAAATATTTGAATGGCCTTCCTACCTTTAAATTCAGCTTTAATTGATCCGTCTTTATCTGATCGTTTACATTTCACAACTGTTCCTCTTAAATTGAATTGAACAATTTCATGTCTTCATTTCAGACCTGATGGAAGCGGATGAAGTGGAGGAGAAACAGCATCAGCATCACTTCACAACTGGAGACAAATCAGGAGGCAAAAATTATTTCATCTGCCCGCAGTGCGGAAAGAGTTTCCCGCATAAAGGAGACCTTCATAAACACATACGGATCCACACCGGAGAGAGACCGTTCATGTGCATGCAGTGTGGAAAGAGCTTTACGCAGAAAGCAAACCTTAACAGACACCTGCGCGTTCACTCTGGAGAAAGACCCTTCACGTGCCCTCAGTGCGGACGGAGCTTCACATCCACCAGCATCCTCAAACACCATCTGCGCTCTCACTCCGGAGTCAAGTCGTTCAGCTGCGATCAGTGCCATAAGAAGTTTATTTTAGCCAAACTGTTGAAAAGACATCTGAAGATGCATGCAAACCAGAAGCCGCACTTGTGCTCTTTCTGCGAGAAGAGTTTTTCACAATTGGACTATTTTATCGAGCACCAGAAAATGCATATCGGTGGGAGACCTCATAAATGCTCTGAGTGCGGAAATGCCTTTAACACGGCCGATTCCTTGAGACGACATCAGAGGATTCATACCGGAGAGAAACCGTACATTTGTTCGCATTGTGGAAAGGGTTTCATTCAGTCGGGACATTTGAGAGCGCATGAGAGATTGCATACGGGAGAGAAGCCGTATCAGTGCTATTCATGTGAGAGGAGCTTCACACATTCAAGTAAACTATTGACTCATGTTAGAAAGCGTTGCCCGAAGTTGTTGTCCATCACTTTAAAGGAATAGTTCACCCAAAAATATACACACCCTCAGGGCATTCAAGATTAGGATGAGTTTGTTTCTTCATCAGATTTGAAGAAATGTAACATTGCATCAGTGTCTCAGCAATGGATGCTCTGCAGTGAATGGGTGCCGTCAGAATGAGAGTCCAAACAGCTGATAAAAACATCACAATAATCCACAAGTAATTCACACCACTCCAGTCCATCAGTTAATGTCTTAAGAAGAGAGAATAGTCCATAATGGATAGTAACGCTTCCTCCAGACCATCTCCTGTTGTCTCTCACATCAAATATGGATGCTCTGCAGTGAATGGGTGCCGTCAGAATGAGAGTCCAAACAGCTGATAAAAACATCACAATAATCCACAAGTAATTCACACCTCTCCAGTCCATCAGTTAATGTCTTAAGAAGAGAGAATAGTCCATAATGGATAGTAACGCTTCCTCCAGACCATCTCCTGTTGTCTCTCACATCAAACCCCAGCCACATATTTGTTTAGAGCTGTTTTGGACTGGTTTGGCTTGTAAATGTGTTTGATCTGTGCAGATTTCTCTCCTGATTCAGACCAGACACCTTTTTACTGGAGAAAGCAATGCGACCCAGGACCACAAAACCAGTCATAAGGTTCAATTTTTTTCGAAATTGAGATTTATACACTGAATAAATAATATTTCCATTGATGTATGGTTTGTTAGGATAGGACAATATTTGGCCGAGATACAACTATTTGAAAATCTGGAATCTGAGGGTGCAAAAAAAAATCGAAATATTGAGAAAATCGCCTTTAAAGTTGTTCAGATGAAGTTCTTAGCAATGCATATTACTAATCAAACATTAAGTTTTGATATATTTACGGTAGGAAATTCACTAAATATCTTTATGGAACATTATCTAATATCCTAATGATTTTTGGCATAAAAGAGAAATGTATAATTTTGACCCACACAATGTATTGTTGGCTATTGCTACAAATATACCCCAGCGACTTAACACTGCTTTTGTGCTGCAGGGTCACATATTATTGACAAAGGACTCGTATTTTACCCAGAAGCAATTTTATAAAGTTAAAAACACCTTAATGATTGACTTGTTTCTTACAGACACAGCTTTTGGCTTCTCAAGACATTAACTGATGGACTGGAGAGGTGTGGATTATTGTGAGGTTTTTATCAGCTGTTTGACTCTCATTCTGACGGCACCCATTCACTGCAGAGCATCCGTTGCTGAGCCAGTGATGGAATTCTTTTTGATGGGTTTATGGGGAAGCTTTTCATTCCATTTGTCAAATGGAATTAATCAAAAATCTCCATCTTTAACAGCTTAATGCACTGAAACCCATCCGTTTCGTCTCGCAGCATGTGGAAATTTATGCGAGGTGTTTTGTTGTTTCTATAAATGTTCATTTTTTCTGTCACACACAGATGCAAATATGGACATAATGCTTTTCCAAAGTTGTGAATTAAAATCTAAAGGACATACTTTTGTGTAGACTTTTATATTTGCAATGCATACAAATTAAATGCTTTTTGGTTTAAAGGCAAAGTACGTTTACGTTCATGCATTTGGCAGATGCTTGTTCCATGAACGATGTATAAATAATGTTTTTGTGCCGATGTTATTAAACACCAGATATCTCTGAACAGATGTTCCATCAATGGTATTAGAAGAAGGCGTTTTAATGAGTTTTCTAGAGCCTTGTGAGAACATTCTGACGGCGCTCCATCAGCTGGATACATAGCAAGTAATTCATGTTGTTGATGTTAATGATGTTTTAATTTAAATTATTGATGTTTTTTTTTAAATGTATACATCATCTCAAAATATGGACTTTCAAAACAAACACAGATCATCAGAAAACTGGACTTTGTCTGTGGAACTGCATTGAAAAAAATACCTGCTTTACAGCTGCCATCTAGAGGTTGAAATATGAACATGTTCAACAATATGATCAAATAAATAAATACAAATTATTACACTAAATAACGCTCATAAGTACAAAGATTTTGACACTATATTTAGAAGTCAGTGTTCAGATCAGCTATGAATTTTTTTTTGCATCATAATTCATCACAGGCACCCAAATCATATATTAAAATGTAACTGGCTCCCATTTTTTTAACTAACATTTATATATTTCAAATACGCAATAACAATATGAATTTTATGCATATAGAAACCACAACCGTGCATGCAATAACAACTGTAGTTTATTTTAGACTCTGCTTAAAATGCAGGATTTTAATGCACATAATGTTATAACTGGGAATAAATCGAAGGAAATAATCACCTCTCATATTCAGACTTCATTCTCTTCCTCTCCAGAACAGTAGATGGCGGACTGTTTAGTTCGCAATCCGTCAGTGTTCCCACAATAGAAGAAAGAAATGGTTCCTCAACAACAGAAGATCTTTCTGAAATCATCAGCTGGAGAAGAACGTGAGTTGGTTTTTATGTTTTAACAGTTCAAGATTGTGATGCTACTCATAAGTGGTGTGTGCGGTTGGCATTTACAACAGAATCACTGCAGAATAAACAGTACTGCTGTCTGTTGTTATGAATATGCATAGGAATAGGTAGCTATAGCTAAAGTTAAATTAACTATTTTTAATTTTCATATTTTGAGTATGCATTATAAATAATATTACTGTGATTATATTATATTGTATTTGTTATATTATTTTATATTCGTTTATTGTCGTGTTTTTATTTGTCTTACAAAATCTAATTGTCTGGAAGCTATGTTTCCGACATGAAATTTAAAAAATAAATGGTACTACTTTTTAATCTCACAATTCTGACTTTTCCCCCTTTTTCTAAGAAAGTTTATATCGTGCATAAAAAGTCGCAATTAGCTTTTTTAATTGATTTATTCCTTGGCAGAAAACAAGTTTCCATAGAATTGCGACGTTTGATTTGAAGAATGCATTGATATTGTATTGATTTTTCTTTATTAATCTGGATATATTTACTTATTCTTTTAGATAGTGGCTTGCATCACTCTTTGTAAATGCTGGAAGCTTTTGTGCATGACTCTTTCTGTTTTCCAAAAGCATTGTGTTTAAGATACAGTGATGCAATGTGAGATCAAATGAACTGAATCTTCCTACAGATGAAGAAGAAGAAATGTTTCCAAAAAGCAAGAGAAATTGACCAAGTTTTGACATTAAAAACAATGGCATTTACTCGATGGATAATGAGAGCCTAAGCGATCCAAACGCTAAAAAACAAACCGGTTGGTGTCTATGCATTTAAAAATCAATTTCTAATAATGTTACTTTCCAGTTTTATTATTGAATTTGAATGATGACACAGACTAATGTGTTTATTTTAGAAGTCATGGACCTGATGGAAGTGGAGGAGAAACTCAAGAAGAAACCGAGACGAGAATCTTTTAGTTCCACACAAAAAAGAACATCTCAAAGAACCCAAAACACTCGCACATGCCCTCATTGCGGAAAGAGTTTCATGCGTAACGAACACCTCAAAATGCACCTGCTGATTCACACCGGAGAGAAGCCCTTCACGTGCCTTCAGTGCGGCCGGAGCTTCAGATGTAAAGGAGACCTGACGAAACACACCAGGATCCACACCGGAGAGCGTCCGTATGCGTGTCCTCAGTGTGGAAAGAGCTTCCCGAGCGCATACGTCCTCAAAAGTCATCAGCTCCTCCACTCAGGAGTCAGATCTTTCAGCTGTGATCAGTGCGAGAAAACCTTCATCCTGGCCACGCACCTACAGAGACACTTGAAAATTCATAAAGATAGGAAGCCTTGCTTGTGTTCGCTCTGCGGGAAGAGGTTTTTGCATTTAAAGGAGCACCAGAAGATGCACGCCGCTGTGAGAGCTCATCTGTGCTTTGAGTGTGAGAAGAGCTTTACCTCTGCCAAATCGCTCAAACAGCATCAAAGGATTCACACTGGAGAGAAACCTTATAAGTGCACACGCTGTGACAAGAGATTCACTCAGTCAGGAACCCTGAAGGATCATGAGAGAGTTCATACTGGAGAGAAGCCGTATCAGTGCTCTTCATGCGGGAGGAACTTCAGCAGATCAAGTAATCTACGGACTCACATGAGAAAGCGCTGCCGAAGTTCAGCCTCACATCGTAAACCGTTTGATATTCAGACGGAGTCGAAGATATAATAACATGTTAGTTAAAAAAAGACATCTTTCCGGAGATGTTTAGATGCTTTAGAAAGTAAAAATAGGATGAGACTGTGTGTTGTGTGTGTGTAAAACATTTTATTTAGGTGTGTAACCTTTCTGGCATGCAATGTGCAAAAGATATAACATGTTAGTTAAAAAAAGACATCTTTCCGGAGATGTTTAGATGCTTTAGAAAGTAAAAATAGGATGAGACTGTGTGTTGTGTGTGTGTAAAACATTTTATTTAGGTGTGTAACCTTTCTGGCATGCAATGTGCAAAAGATATAACATGTTAGTTAAAAAAAGACATCTTTCCGGAGATGTTTAGATGCTTTAGAAAGTAAAAATTGTATGAGTGTGTGTGTGTAAAAATTTTTTTTCAGGTGTGTAACCTTTCTGGCATGCAATATGTTAAAATAATTAACTTCTACCATTTCATTTAGAAACTAATGAAATCACCAAACTAGTATTGCGAGCACCAGAAGATGCACGCCGCTGTGAGAGCTCATCTGTGCTTTGAGTGTGAGAAGAGCTTTACCTCTGCCAAATCGCTCAAACAGCATCAAAGGATTCACACTGGAGAGAAACCTTATAAGTGCACACGCTGTGACAAGAGATTCACTCAGTCAGGAACCCTGAAGGATCATGAGAGAGTTCATACTGGAGAGAAGCCGTATCAGTGCTCTTCATGCGGGAGGAACTTCAGCAGATCAAGTAATCTACGGACTCACATGAGAAAGCGCTGCCGAAGTTCAGCCTCACATCGTAAACCGTTTGATATTCAGACGGAGTCGAAGATATAATAACATGTTAGTTAAAAAGAGACATCTTTCCGGAGATGTTTAGATGCTTTAGAAAGTAAAAATAGGATGAGACTGTGTGTTGTGTGTGTGTAAAACATTTTATTTAGGTGTGTAACCTTTCTGGCATGCAATATGCAAAAGATATAATAACATGTTAGTTAAAAAAAGACATCTTTCGGGAGATGTTTAGATGCTTTAGAAAGTAAAAATTGTATGAGTGTGTGTGTGTAAAAAAAATTTTTCAGGTGTGTAACCTTTCTGGCATGCAATATGTTAAAATAATTAACTTCTACCATTTCATTTAGAAACTAATGAAATCACCAAACTAGTATTGTAAAGATGGAGTTTGAGGAAGACCCCTGCAGAATGAGAGATGAAGATACAGAGGAACAAACAGGTTGGTGTTCTCCTTCATTCTCTTTAATGACTGATGAGGAACATTGAGATGAAAACTAGATTCTAGATACATTTTTACTAAATTAAGGTTCACTTTCGTTTTTGCTTCACATTTGTCCTTCTTTAAATGAATATTGTGAATTTAATCGGTTGGGTTTAGAGTTGATGGAAACGAATAAAGGCAAATGGCATCAATTAAAAAAAATCTAATCTTTTCACAGATGACGATGGAAAGGATGTCAGTCAAAAACAAGCTAGAAAAACTGGAGTCAAAAAACCTTTCACCTGCTCTGATTGTGGAAAGAGTTACTCACGTAAACCAGACCTTAACAGACACACGAGATTTCACACTGGAGAAGGACTGTTCACATGCACTCAGTGTGGAAAAGTTTTCACAGGGAAAGGAAAGCTGGATGTACACATGAGAGTTCATACTGGAGAAAGACCGTTCACATGCACTCAGTGTGGGCAGAGTTACATACATAAACCAGACCTTAACAGACACATGAGGATTCACACTGGAGAGAGACCATATACATGCACTCAGTGTGGAAAGAGTTTCATTGACACACAAAACTTAAAATCGCACATGAAAGTTCACACTGGAGAAAAACCGTTCACATGCACTCAGTGTGGAAAGAGTTTCGTATCCAGAAGCTTTCTTAAAGATCACCTGCTCTCTCACACTGGAGTGAAGTCATTCCATTGTGATCAGTGTGATAAAACATTTGCTGTGGCATCAAACTTAAGAAGACATCTTAAAGTTCATGCTGGCGTGAAGCCTCACTTTTGTTCTTTTTGTGAAAAGACTTTTGCACATCTGCAAAAGTTAAAAGAGCATGAGCGTATTCATACTGGTGTGAAACCTTATGCGTGCTTGGACTGTGGAAAGAGCTACACTACAGCATGTGGATTAAAATCACACCAGAAGATTCACACTGGAGAGAAACCTTACATGTGCTCACACTGTGAGAAGTGTTTTGCTAATTTATCGTCCCTGCAATTTCATGAGAGAGTTCACACTGGAGAGAAGCCGCACCAGTGCCCTTCATGTGGGAAGAGTTTTGCTCACTACCCAAATCTGCACGTTCATATAAAAAAAAAGCGTTGCCCGAAGTTGCCCAAGTGAGAAATGTTTCAGATTTCAGATTCATCACGTCACATTTGGTAAACAACTCTTGAAAGATGAAAAGATATTAAATCAGTCAAATTTGGCTATGGGGTTGGATGGGGTTTATTCACGATGTCTTTTATTATGTATATGCCCTCATAAATGTATTCTGATGGCATGTTTTGAAACAATGAGAAATAAAAAGGAACAAAAAAATTACATGACTCATTTAATGACACAAAATGTTTTAACATAGTATGTAACATTGCTTAAAAGCATTTTTCAATTTATGTTTAAAGGCTGAATGGAATGCATGTGTTCTGTGTCCAATTCAGCAGTGAAATACTAGTCTAGCAGCTATCTAGTGATGAAATAACATTTAAGATCATCTAGGCTTTTACTTTATATGGTTATACTTTATACCTTTGACAAACTATCTTGGAAAAAATTGTTTAGATCCTCAGAATAATTACATGAGTTTCTCAATGAAGTTGACAATAATAAGGCAGTACCACACATTTGACTCTAGATGGAATATGTATTAATTTCAACAATGCGATGTTGTTGTCTCTATTTAGGTTAATGAAACTAGTGTGCTGTGCTTATCAGACTGGGGACATGGTTTTATTTTTATTGAGAGAAACCTAAATCTGATAATAACAGTGACATGCTACAGTTGAAGGAGTCCAGAAGGTAAATACAAATGCATAGGCTACGCTTTAGCAGTTATGGCGAAACAACTGTGGGTATACCTATGATGAAAATTACAGGCCTCTCTCATCTTTTTAAGTGGGAGAACTTGCACAATTGGTGGCTGACTAAATACTTTTTTGCCCCACTGTATATAACATCTTATTTCTATATCAGTAGCCTACTTATATTTACTTAAGTTTTGTTTTTCACCAAACCCTATCGTATACCCCCAGAAATATTGGAATACACAGCATGTGTTTTAAATGGGACCATTCTGTAATAATTTTGCGCCTTTTTTAAAAGCTTGATTGCAGCACTGGAGAAAAACTCAGCGTTTTGAGCGGTGAGTGGATTCTAACTTAAACACCTCTGATTGGCCATTGCGTTCAAGAATTTAACAGACATGTCTGTGATTGGCTACAATCCTCAACACTGCAAAATCCGCTGTAAATAGAAACCTTTGATGCTCTTGAGAGCGCAAACACAAATAAGCACTGGATCTCGCATTGAAACAAAGAAATAAAAAGGAACAAAAATGCATGACTCATTTAATGGCATAAAGCTGACATACAGCGTTTTAACAATGTATTTATTGTATTTTATGTTTAAACAATAAAAGAAGATGAAATGCATGTCTTATTCAGCAGTGTATTACTAATCTATCTAATATTAAAAAGATTTATGCTTTTATCTTATATGGTTATACCTTATACCTTGGAGAAATGATCTTGAAAGAAAAAAATAGTCTTTTCCTTTCAACAACGCGATGTTGTTGAGTCATTTGAGGTTCATGAAAGGAGTCAATGTACTGTGTATCAGACTGGGGACATTCGTTTTGTTTTTATTGGGAGAAACCTAAATCTGACAATAGCAACAGTTGAAGGAGTCCAGAAGGTAAATACAACTGCATACTCCTCCTTAGCCTATTTGAAGCATAATCTATCCAGAATGATCTATTATGGTGAAACGACTGTCAACTATAAGAAAATCTTATTTCTAAATCAATTACTTCAGTTTTGTTTTTCACCAAACCCTATCGAATACCCCCAGAAAAAATAGGAATATACGGCACGTGTTTCATATGTAAAGTTGCTTCTTTATTAAAAGCTTGATTGCAGCACTGGAGAAAAACTCCTGTTTTGAGCGGTGAAGGGATTCACAAACGCCTCTGATTGGCCATTGCGTTCACGAAATCAACAGACATGTCTGTGATTGCCTACAACGCTCAACACTGCAAAGTGCGTTGTAAATAAAAACCTTTGACGCTCTCCAGACACAGATAAGCACTGGATCGTTTGCCAAACTGGTTTCGCCCATAGACTGTATTAAACAATGTTTCGCCAATATGCTATTATCACAGCTTCACCCAAGTGTGCTCATCATGCTTTCATTTGAGGGAGATTACTTTAGCATGTTTTGGCCACAGTCTACTTTAAGTTTTTGTTGCATGTACACAGTTTTGATCAGCAGGCGTCACCAGCGTGTGGTGTTTCGAGCGCTTTGAAACAGTGAATCATTTTGCGAAGCAATTGGTTCAATTGATTCGAAGCTTCGAAAAGGTTCGTTTATTGTATTCACTCGCGTCTGTTGTCTCGCGCATGACACGACGTTCTAAAAAACGCGATATCTTACGTTTTTTCCCCTTTTCTCTGCCCATTTAAAGCTGGATGATTGCAAACGATTATAAGTGTTTGAGCATCTGCTGCACAGCCGTTCATGAGAGTTTAAATGCTGGAGAATATTCCCATCTTCCCACAGCTGAAGAAGAAGCAAGCAGGAGGAATTACTCCAGGAGGAACTACTGGCATACTGTTGGAAAGATGGAGCTTGAGGAAGACCCCTGCAGAATGAGAGATGAAGAAACAGAGGAACAAACAGGTTGGTGTTCTCCATCAGGAACATCAAGATGAAAACTGACATAAAATATAATAACACTAGTAGACAGCAGTAACCTAGATTTGAGCTAAATTAAGGCTTAACTTGATTTCCTCTTGTTTTTAATTTGAGTTAATTTTAGACTCAATGGAAGTGATTGAAGATGAACAACATCGGTTTCAAAAAACTCTGCTGAAAACTGCTGAAAAGGGTTCTTTCGCCTGCACCGAGTGTGGAAGAAGTTTCAATGATAAATCAAACCTAATGAGACACATGAGATTTCATGCTGGAGAAAAACCATTCGCATGCACTCAGTGTGGAAAGAGTTTTGTTCTGAAAGGAGGATTGAATCGGCACCTGCAAGTTCACACTGGAGAAAAACCATTCACATGCACTCAATGTGGGAAGAGTTTCACATCCAAAAGCATTCTGAGGGATCATCTGGTCTCTCACTCTGGAGTGAGGTCATTCAGCTGTGATCAGTGTGATAAAACATTTGTTTATGAAACAAACTTAAGAGAACACCTTAAAATTCATACTGGAGTGAGGCCTCACGTTTGCAGTTTTTGTGGAAAGAGGTTTACAGCACTGAAAAGCTTACAGTATCACCAGAGCATTCATACTGGAGTGAGACCTTATATGTGCTTTGACTGTGGGAAGACCTTTAGTTCGTCGAGCAACTTAAAAACACACCAGAGGATTCACACTGGAGAGAAACCGTACAAGTGCTCACACTGTCGAAAGAGTTTCTCTCATTCATCAACCTTGAAAGATCATGACAGGATTCACACTGGAGAAAAGCCGTACCAGTGCTCTTCGTGTGGGAAGAGTTTCGCCCGCTCCTCTAATCTACTGACTCATAAGAAAAAGCGTTGTCTGAGTGAGCAAAAGCATTTATGAAACAATGGCAAGATCAGTCCGTTAAATCTCTGTTAATGTTCATGGTGTTAGAAACTCTTGCATTGAGGGCGAAAACATTGAAATCAGTCCAGTTTTGGCTTGGGCTTGTTTATGGTTAAATAGGTTTATTAATAGTGATGCCATTTATTATTTATAATGTTGTGTGTGATGTACTGATTTCTATGAGAAATAAAAAGGAAGAAAACTTAAGCGTCTTATTAAATAAATACTTTTACTTTTGTTTACAAATGATCAAATGGTTTTGTTAAATAACTGATGTTGTGTTTTTGAATAAAAAACTGTAATAGATGTTTTTCAATTTAAACAGAAGATTAAAACTGAATGAAACGTCTGTGGCAATGCAGCAGGGAAATACAGCTGTTATCTATAGTTGTAAAGAGATGAATCCATGCTTAAGAAGTTGCTTTTAACTTGACTTTTGGTCAATAATGATAAGGTAAAATAATTCTTTAGTGAACAATTATTTAATTGTTTTCTTATTTGGAAGCAGATTGTGTCTCATTGACTCTTGATGGCACCATTTTATTGTCAACCATATCAGCTTACGGACTTAATAACATGGATCACAAAACTTCTTTAAATCTGCTGTTTTATTACCCTGTGAGTACATTTCTGGAAATTTAGGAAATGAGAATTACCTAAAATCAAAAAATTTAATTTCCTCATATTAAATGTCATGCTGATCTCTTCATGATTTTGAATACAGCAGTAACTGATTGTTCTTGAATAGAACATATATGCTGTTATTTATATATATATATATATATATATATTATATTCAAAATTATAAACGCAACCCTGTATATATATATATATATATATATATATATATATATATATATAATGGTGTTTCATCTGACAAGCTTCAAATGATTTATTTGTCTTGATCCAATAGCTTGTGACCCTCTTTTTCTGCTCTCATATGCATTAAAAACAAATTTAAATTTGTTAAATTAAAACTAAAAACAATTTTGTGCTGTTTGAACTGTGATGAACGTGTATTTAATGATGATTTTTGTTTGAAGAAGTAATGCACCACATGGTTTAACAAGGGTGAAAGAGTGTAAAGGTGAACATGTCTTTATCCTAAAAGACATTATCACAGAATATTTAAACCATCATATTATAGCTGGGTTTGTCCCTTTTTAACACCTCACAGGTGTGGCATATCAAGATGCTGATTAGACAGCATGATTATAGCACAGGTGTGCCTTAGGCATAAAAGGCTAAAAGGCCACTCTAAAATGTGCAGTTTTATCACACAGCACAATGCCACAGATGTCGCAAGTTTTGAGGGATTGGCATGCTGACTGCAGGAATGTCCACCAGAGCTGTTAGTTAAATTAAAACTAAAAACAATTTTGTGCTGTTTGAACTGTGATGAACGTGTATTTAATGATGATTTTTGTTTGAAGAAGTAATGCACCACATGGTTTAACAAGGGTGAAAGAGTGTAAAGGTGAACATGTCTTTATCCTAAAAGACATTATCACAGAATATTTAAACCATCATATTATAGCTGGGTTTGTCCCTTTTTAACCCAGCATTTTTTAGAGTGTGATGAGCATCTGCTAAATGAGCTCCACAGCCGTTCATGAGAGTTTAAATGCTGGGGAATATTCCCCGCTTTAGTAATTTCCATGAGTACAAATCTTAATGTTTAAGCATATAATGATATTCTAGGGAATTGTGCGCTTCTAATTTTATAGCAACAGTTTGGACGGGACCCTTTTCTATTCTAACATGACAATGCCTCTGTCTATAAGGCAAGGTTAAAAAAGAAATGATTGATTCAGTCAGTGTGGAAGAACTTGACTGGTCTGCAGAAAGAAAAGTCCTAATCCCAGCTGAACACCTCTGGTGTGACTGTAAGAAAAGAAAGAAACAGGTTTGACTACTTTAGTAATTTCCATGAGTACAAATCTTAATGTTTAAGCAGATATTCTAGGGAATTGTGCGCTTCTAATTTTATAGCAACAGTTTGGACGGGACCCTTTTCTATTCTAACATGACAATGCCTCTGTCTATAAGGCAAGGTTAAAAAAGAAATGATTGATTCAGTCAGTGTGGAAGAACTTGACTGGTCTGCAGAAAGAAAAGTCCTAATCCCAGCTGAACACCTCTGGTGTGACTGTAAGAAAAGAAAGAAATTTACCTTGCATCCCAGCCCACAGTCTTAAACGCTCAATCAGTATTGTAACACACTACATATGCCATGTTATATATGTCATGTGACCATATGGTGTCAGTTGCGTCGCTTCACTGCCTTTCACAACTCCTACTAGGTCATCCATGTATATTTAGGCTACTATTTAATGAATACTGCTATAGACGGTATGCCCTTTTTCTGTATAATAATAATACACCCCATAGTATAAATATTTTCACATGCATCACATCAACAACTGGAAAAAAGGACAGAAGATTTCTATAAAATGTTATAGCAAATCTTAAACAGTCGCAAATTGTGGGAATTGAAGAACTGAAAAAACTTTAACTCAGAATGATTGTGTGTGAAATGAGCTCCATTCACTCCTTCAGTGAAGCCGCTCCACAGCCGTTCATGAGAGTTTAAATGCTGGAGAATATTCCCATCTTCCCACAGCTGAAGAAGAAGCAAGAGGAATTAATCCAGGAGGAACTACTGACATACTGTTGGAAAGATGGAGCTTGAGGAAGAACCCTGCAGAATGAGAGCTGAAGATGCAGAGGAACAAACAGGTTGGTGTTTTCCTTCCTTCTCTGTATTGACTTATGAGGAATATTCAGATGAAATCCGACATAAAACAATGTATTCCTTCCCTGGAACTCTTGAACACCCTTTCTATACTGCTGTGATTTACCTCTAATTTTTGGGTGGATGTTTTCAATAAACTTTCAGTGAAAAATAATCACATTTATTCCTTATAGTTTTAGAAAATATACCCTGTTTTTAAAAATATCTTGAATTCCCTGTTTTCTGACTGAACATGGTAATTTAGGTGGGTAAATATCACATTTACACATGCACATGGAAGAAATGTAAACCCTCCTTTATTTAGATTTTGTGAGAATATTTCAAAGTTTCCTTTCAAATACTCTAAAGAAAACTAGAAAGATTGGAAGCCTATGCTTCTCATCAAAATAGTTACTATTTTAGTGCTGTCCTGATTTATATTAAATTCCATTAAATTTCATATCTTGCTTTTTTATGTCAGTGTGGTGTGGCTTATGATGTTGATATGTACCCTATCTTGCAATAAAAAATGTGCACAAAAAAAAAAAGCCAGTAAAGACATTAATAATCTTAACAAATATTTATATTTTAAATAATTTCAAATAATTTCTATTTTCCATTTCATACTTATATTTCAATCTTTCTGTTCATCGGAAAATAAAAACACCTCCACACATTTTATTAAGCAGTGCAACCATTTTCAGCTATATATAACAGCTATAATAAGAAGAAATGTTTTTTGGTCACTTTTGAGCAGCAATCAGCATGATTTCTGTAGGATCATGTGAGACTGAAAGCTGGAGTAATGCAGCTTTAGCATGCAGGAAAATGCATTTTAAATCTATTCATGTAGAAAGCAATTCCTTCAAATGGTAGATTTAATGTTTTCACTTTATTTTTGATCAAATAAATGCAGCCTTACTGAGCAGAAGAGATTTGTTTCAAAACCATAAAAAAAAATCTCACTGACCCCCTTTTGATTGGTGGTGTATATTATATATTTTATTTATAATATATTTTAAATGCCTGTATTTAGCCCAGATACTGTTAAACAGCCTAGGCCATATATATAATTTTAAAAAATTTCATTGAATGCCACTTCCCTTACGAAAAAGAAGTGTAATCAAGTGTGCTATTAGTATACTTCTTTTAAACTAAAAAATAGGGAAGTATACTTTGTCTACTTTTTATGTACTTCTCAGAAATGGGATTTATGTACTTCTCAAAAATATACTTTAAATGACATTTAAGTATACTTGATTTATACTTAGAAAAAGTCTAAATATATTTGAGCTATACTTGTGTTCCTAGAATCCGTGTTTTCATTGTTATACTGTAGGGGGCGCTAGTACACATCTTCTGTACAGAATTTTCAAAAAACACAAGTGAAGAAGAAACCGAAACCACAGACGCTTCCACATGTATTCTAACACGATCATCAGACCTAAAACAGCATCAAAACTGTGTAACGTAATGGAATAAAATGACTGTCAAGCTTTGGTGTGTTGATCGATTCTTTCTACGTTTTGATTAGCGTTCTGAATCCAACTCAGTCTTTTTTCAGCTTTTTGTTCAAAATGTTGTTTATTTCTTTTTTTTTTTTTTATTATTATTTATGAAACTTGCCCACATTCAGGTGTTTAAAAAAAAAAGAATGCATGAAGCTAGAATAAAATGTTTTTGTTTACAAGCAGATACCCTGTTCTTTCTTTTGGTGTTTTGTATGTTCAGATATTTATATAACAATGTATACAAATTAATACCTAAATAGGGACATAGTAGTATACTTAAATTATGACGTAAAGTTCACTTAAAGAAAACTTACGAGTATACTTGCAGTATAAAACTACGAAACTAGTAGTTTACTAAGACTATACTTGAAAGTGTACTAAAAATGCTACAAGTATTTAATTGGTAAACTATCAGTATTCATATGTTCACTTTTAGAATAGTTGCAGTACAAGCTAAAAATGTTGATGTAAACTAGTTGTGTACTCGAAGTTTACTACTGTTATACTTAAAGTATACTTTTATAGACTATAAAGTGGGCCAATTTAGTCCCAAAGAGTATTGAAATAGTACACTTACAAGTATACTACTAGTACACTGATATTTGTATACTTGCCACATAAAGTATACTTAAAAATATACTTGAACTTTACTTAAGTATACTTACTAAAATAAACTTGAAGTATACTACTTTTTGGTAAGGGTTGACATTAATGACATTTGATTGGACTGGACTTGAAGTATCATTAGTTTTCCAAGGAGGTAAATTCTTTTAAACGGGTGCCGCGTTCTATTTCTGACGCACTCCACGCGCTACAAATAGACAGATACGGAAAGTTCGCTTTGATGCATCCAGTGTAGTTAGAACATTGCAGACCATTTTCTTTTGCAAGTTTCAGCTCATACAGGTTCGCTTTGACCAAACATCCCCAAAAACACCTCAGCGAAAGTGTGGACTCGG